TTTTTTTTAAGATAATATATTTTTTAATTATAAATTAATATAAAAAAATATTATAATCACTTAATGTTATTAAAAGAAAAAAAAAACAAAATTGAAATTTATTAGATAATTATTCATTAAAAAATGTGACTACAAATTAAAAAATTAAAATGGATAAATTTGTCAATACAATTAAAAAATTCTAATCCACTAGCTGTTTGGTATAAAAAAGCTACATAAACTAATTTTTTCAATCCGCTAGCGATTTGGACCCTAACCGCTATCCGCTAGTTTCAAACCGCTAAATAAAAATTTTACCAAACACTTTAATGGTAGTGGTTTCAAAATATATAAATTTACCAAACACCTATATTTAGCGGTTTAGGTAAAACAGCTAACCGCTACCTCAAAACCGCTATACCAAATAGGGCCTAAGTAAAAGAAGTTGTTTTTTTTTTAAAAATAAAATTTTGAATTTAAATCTTATAAATAAAGAGATAAACATTAAAAAAAAATTTCTTCATAAGGTCTAATCAATTCTTAATTAATTAAAATCTAATATAATTTTCAGACATCAAGAGGTTTGATATAAAAATAATATTTTATTATATCACCTCATATTGATCTATATTTATTCGCAGTCTTAAAATTATTTAAAAAAATATTAATCTCAAGATAGTATAAGTAAATCTAAAAATATCTAGTCTCAATATATGTTACCTTATTACTTATTGGAAACCACGATTTATTCAAGGAAATTTATTGACTAATAAAATAAAAGTATTATACAGTTTACATTAAACTCCATTACATAACACAAATCATTAAATAATAATAAATTTTTTTAATATTGAGACCATCCCTTCGTCCATTAATTTTTATTTTACAATCCTATATATACTGTACATGCTAAAAAACAAGAAACTCTTATTCCAACAGCTCGAACAAAATATTTTTTCAAATATAATATCTATCTTTTTGTCTTCCCTTTTATATGCTATCACGGAGAAAGAATAAGCCACATTCACCTGTTGTCCACTACACAAAGAACTTTATCAAAAACAAATCCATTCAAGATACAAAAAATCTAGTTAAAGGGACAACACCAGTACCACTCCTGATTGTCATAGTGTAATTGTGTTCAACTGAAATCCTGTTTATAAAATGGATTTGATTCCGAATAGGCTTTCATTGAAGCTTTCCAACTTAAAGATTCATCCCCCATTTAATAATTGTTCTAGCAAATAGCAAACTTTTTAATGTTCAATTCTTTCTCGCTGACAATATTTATTGCAAGAGAGATATAGACCAAGTCCTGGATACAGGGAAAAAAAATGCTCCAAACAAGTGTTGATTCCATTCTTTGATATAATTTAGGCCCTGTTTAATTTGATTCTTAAGAATAATTTACAGTTATAGACTTATAACTGTTAATTATATTAATAAAATAGATAATATTTATTATTTAATAATTTAAAATAATTTATAAACTAATATTTTTAAATATTATAATTATTTAAAAAATTAAAAATTAATAAAATCAACTAAATCACGATTGAATTTCATAATTTGATAACTATCTGTTTCGTAATAAGATACATCTTAATTTAAATGTTGGGGTTCAAATCCCCTTTTTCTCAAAAAGTAACACATTCAAAAAATAATAATAATAAAGTCAGCTAAATCTATCACGAGAGAGATTGTCTTCTACGGTGTTCGGAATCATGTTCAACTGAGTAGTACAAATCATAGGCATGCATAATATAGTTCGATGTGTTGAGATTTTAGATAACAATGCATAAATGCATTACTGAACTCCCCTTCTATAGCAAAGGCGGCGTATCATGGAACTTGTATAAAAGAAAGGAACATAACTACTCTAAATGCACTTTAGGGAATAATTATAACCATTCATTATTTTGTTAAAATTATTTAAAAATTATTTAATTTAATTAATATTTCATTTATTTATAATTTTTTTAAATAATTAATTATAATATTTAAAAATATCAATTTATAATTTATTTTAATTTATTAAATAATAAATATTAATTATTAATTACTATTAATAATTAAATTAAAAAATTAAATAATTTTAATAAAATAATAAGCGCTCATAATCACACCCACTTTAGGCCGGGCATCCGTATCTCATGAGATGATGCGAGTAAAAATTCTTCTGTTGCCTTCAATTAGAAGCCACATATGTGCAGATTACAATGAATTATGCATTGGATATATTCTCTCCGAACAACAAAAAGTAGTTTATATATATATTTCTCTGCCATGAGATTCATGAAATGGTATAAATGGACGAGACCAAATGTGCCATATGATGTGGCTATATTCCCCCTCTCCAAAGATAAATATTCATAGAGATCTAAAAGACGAGAGTGAATTAAATTAGTACACTCAACTAAGAGTGGTTCAAATGATCAGGGCATAATTTGTGGACCATGCTGTGTTTTAATTAGGCTATAAACATCTCAGTATAGAAGATGTGTGTGTGTTTTAATGTTTGAGAAAGTGTACATGTGAAGAACAGTATATATCCGTGTATAAATATGGGTATAAGAACATATGCAGTACTTGATTTAGCCGCAAATTCTCATATTCTGTCTTGGTATATGTAAAGGAAAAGACCTTAGGACAAAATCAGCGAAAGATATACGAAATTGAACTTGAAACCAATAAATTAATACATAAATTAGCTTCATGTTGACTTGAAATCTCTTGATTTACTAGATGACTTTTGAATTTTGATCTTCTCCCTTTTCGGCCATTTTGATTTGTTTTTGTATGCATTAAAACAAGTGGTTCAAATTTGTGGAGAGATAAAACATAAATTTAAATTTCTATTATCACGAGGATATGAAAGTTTTTTATATTAGAAATAAAATCACTTCAATTACTAAAATTCCACAAAAATCCAAATCACTTTGATCTTCTTAATTTGAGGGAAATGGATAAGAAAGAAAAGGGGAATGAGAAACCTTCATTTGGATGAGAAGTGAAATTAGAGGGGATGATAAGCTAAGTCTTTATGTTGTTTAGCATTCCTAATTTTATGAAAGGGTTAAGGTATTCTTTGTACTTCATTTTAGTAATATAATTGTTTTTATTGATAAAAAAAACTTAGAGGGGATGACAATATTTTCTATATGTTTTTTATTTACTAATTTTTATTAATTTTAAACTATTCAAATAAGGTGGTCTATTTTCCTTGTTTCCTTTCCCTGAATTTTCTTAAAAATAAATATGTTATAGAGAAAAAACTTATTTTTATTTTTTAATTTAAGTTACAAAATAATAAGTAATTATCTTTCATTCTTTTAACTTATTTTTATTTACAAATCATGCCACTAAAATTTAAAAACTTTTACTTTCTAAAAAAAATTAACATTAAATTATTTATATAGGAAAAAAATTTTCTTTATCAGATAGTATTTTTTTTTCCCTTTTCATTTGGCTCTGCTTATTTTAATCTATTCAAATAAGGGAAGAGAAGGCCAGACTCTTATCCGTTGGTGAAAAGGATGGAGGCACAAAGCACATAGAGTTAGAGCTATACGCACGGATCCCGGGCTTCCTAATTTCAATTCAAGGTGAACGATTTCTTAGACCTATTGATTTTGAATACTTATCGAATGAACTACCTTCTGATTGAACTAATTGATCTGGTCCAAGATTGTGGAATTTTTTGGGTGTTAGGAAACAAAGCTTGAAAGATTTGAGTACAATTATGCTAGCACACCAAGTGTTTGATAATATGACTGAGTAAGGTCTTTTATTCTTGACACCAATTAGCAGTTTGAATAAAGGTTTCATGTTAAGTTCTTTCGTTTTGGGTTTTTTGGATATGCAAAAATGTATTGTGCAGTATGAACTGCGCAGTTTAAATTATTGTTAAACGTAAATCTTTTGATATTAGAGACTGTTCTCATCTTTTTTCATTTGGCAGTCCGACTATATAGCGGTTGGTGCCCCTTCATACCTCCTTAGTTAAATTAATTTACTTGCTGATTAAAAAGAGTAAGCGAAGGGAAGAAAAATGGAAGGTTAATTAACCTTCATTAATTTCCCTGCCCTCCCCGTCCTCTCTTTCCTTCATTTTTGTAAAATCAAATATGTTCTAGATCCCACGGGCAGCCATTAGAAAAATGCAATAAGATGCTTTAAGTCCCCAAATCTGCTTCCAATTGTGCCCTAACTTATGGGCAAGTTTGCACCTTGCTTTTTCCAACTCAATGGGTTCGTCTAAAGTATTTTGCTTTCTTGTTATCGTACGTAAAGGATATTGGGTCTCTTTTGGTGTATTTAAGAGCATGAAAATACACAAACTCAAAGCAAAAGATCAAAGATCGTATAAAGCAAACCCGAAGGAGTTGTGGAGGTGGTAAGGGGATTGCTTCTTATTTTATTGATCAATATTTAATTTTTTAAAGAAATCAATACGAAGATAATTCTTTATTAATTTTTTAATTTTGACGTAGATACCAAACTGAGAAATAATTAATTTTAAAATACATATAAATTGATTTAAAAATACATTAATTATTTAAACAAATAAATAAATAAATAAATGCATCTGACCCTTTGAGTCAACTGGTAACCTGCCAACTTGAGGTACATTCCGCTTCTCGATAGGTGGTTTCAAGCATATCCTTTAACAACTTGTTAAAAATAAAAATAAAAAATAAATAAATAAACAATAAAGCAAACCAAGCATGGTTGTCCCCATGGGACGTTCGAAACCAGCTATGCTTCCCCCCTCTATCTTATAAAGTGTACCAATCATCTCTCACCCTCAAAGTAGAAAACCCCTCCAACCCAAACAACCCAAAAAAAAAAAAAAAAAAGGGAAATTCCTTCCCTTCTTTGCTCCTCTTTTTCTCCTTCCAACTGCATCTTCTCATGAATTTTCCTTGCCATTTACCCTAATCTTCTTTTTCATTTTTATCTATTGTCTTCCATATATCTAGAGATCATATCATATAAAAACATAGGAATAAAGGGGGAAGGTTAATCATGGGTTGTTCTTTGTCTTTTAAGGCCATGTTTGGAGGACTTGCAGTACCGGCAATTATTTTGCTTTTGTTGGTCGGAACGTTGCAGCCATCAGATGGAAGGAAAACGAAGACCACATTAATGACAACGTCGATGAAGTGGTCAGAAAAAGAAGAGCACGGGAAGGTGTTGGGCAGACAGAAGTCACTTGTTCTAACTGAGTTAGATATCAACTACATGAGCAAACGAAAAGTTCCTAACGGACCAGATCCTATTCATAACAGGTACTTAATCATATCAAATTTTATATATACTTGAAAAACAAAATTAAGAAAAAATCTCCTTCTTTATTTTATGTTCTTTTAATTTCTCAAAGAATTTCTTAAAGATTTGCTATAATTGTTTTGAAAGTATTATCCCAAATTAAGGCTAAGGTTTTCCCTTTTTTTTTTTTTTTTTTTTTTTT